CATCCCGGCGGCTCCCCCCCCCCTCCAGCTCAGAAACCGCCATGCTGCCTGGGGTTAGGATGGCGATTTCTAACGCGAGACGATCGGTCCATCCACCGAGCGGACTGCAGTCATGTCCGCGAGGATTGCCTAGGGTTCAGCTTTCTCAGGGCTCGGTCGGCAGGGCGAAGGCCATTTACCAACTTAGGGCCTTCAACCTCCTCGGCAAAGTTCCCCACGAACTGCTCCTTGTCACTTCCCGGCGGCGTCCGAGCCCTACGCACCGGGGAACTGCCGTGAGCCCCCGATTGTCATGCGGCCGGGCCACCTGACGCGCTTCTGTGCTGTCCAAAGCCTCCCAGAGAGATGCCATTCTGCCTCGCCCTCACGCTTGACGGTCCGTCGTGCTTTCTGTGGATCGATTGGCGATTATGCACATACACCCTTATATACCTACACCCCAATACACCCCTATGTATATACATATAAGTATATACAATACACCCCTATGTATGGCAACTTTGTACAAGTGGCCATACATATACACATTTATATATACCCCTATATATATATATACACCCCTATATGCATACACCCCTATATACATACACCCCTGTATATATACACCCCAATATACACACTCATATATATATACCCTTATATACATACACCCCAATATGCATACACCCCTATATACATCCACCCTTATATATACACCCCTACATACATACACCCTATATATATACACTGCTAAATATATACACCCCTATATATAAACACCCCTATATATAAACACCCCTATATATATACACCCTTGTATACATACATCCTTATATACATACATCCTTATATATCTACACACATCTATAGGTAAGGCCCCCCTCCCCCCCCAGCTCCTCCAGTTCTCCCGAGAGCAGGGTCCGGAGATCTTTCGTGTTCCTTCCCGGATAGCTTGCCTTGGGGTTAAGTCAGGGAGAGTTGCTCCTTCACCATCATCATCATCATCATCATTAGCATTAGCATCATCATCATCATCATCATCATCATTATTATCATCATCATCATTATTATCATCATCATCATCATCATCATCATCATCATCATCATCATCATCATCATCATCATCATCATCATTATTATCATCATCATCATCATCACTATCCTCCTCCTCCTCCTCCTTCTTTTCCTCCTCCTCCTCCTCCTCCTCATCCCCCCTCCTCCTCCTCCTCATCCCCCCCCTCCTCCTCCTCCTCATCCTCCTCCTCCTCCTCATCCCCCCCCTCCTCCTCCTCCTCCTCCTCCTCCTCCTCCTCCTCCTCCTCCTCCTCATCCCCCCCCTCCTCCTCCTCCTCCTCCTCCTCCTCCTCCTCCTCCTCATCCCCCCCCTCCTCCTCCTCCTCCTCCTCATCCCCCCCTCCTCCTCCTCCTCCTCCTCATCCCCCCCCTCCCCCTCATCACCACCATCACCATGGGATTGTACGCCACCTCTGCTCCCCCCCCTCCCCGCTTTGTCCCGCAGGCCTCGTTCATTTGCATATTATTTGCACATTATTACTTGCCTTTTATCATTTCTTTCTTTATTTTTCCTCTCTCTCTCTCTCTCTCTCTCTCTCTCTCTCTCTCTCTCTCTCTCTCTCTCTCTCTCTCTCTCTCTCTCTCTCTCTCTCTCTCTCTCTCTCTCCCCCCCTCTCTCCCCCCCCTCTCCCTTATTATTAATTGCCTATTATTATCTATTTACTCCTTTATTTCTCTCTCTCTCTCTCCCCCCTCTCCCTTATTATTAATTGCCTATTATTATCTACTTATTCATTTATTTCTCCCTCTCTCTCTCTCCCCTTCGACAACTACTCAGCCCCCATGGTCGTCGACGGGATATATTTATTACTATTATTTATTATTATTATTATTATCATTATCATTATTTATTATTAATTGCCTATTATTGCCTATTATTGCCTATTCTTATGTAGTTATTTATTTCTCTCTCTCTCTCTCTTGCAGCTTCGACAACTACTCAGCCCCCATGGTCGTCGACGGGATATATTTACTACTATTATTTATTATTATTATTATTATTATTATTATTATTATTATCATTATTTATTATTAATTGCCTATTATTGCCTATTCTTATGTAGTTATTTATTTCTCTCTCTCTCTCTCTTGCAGCTTCGACAACTACTCAGCCCCCATGGTCGTCGATGGGATTCCCGTGTCGCTGGGGCTCTGGGACACGGCCGGCCAGGAGGACTACGACCGACTCAGGCCCCTGTCGTACCCGCAGGTATGGGGGGGGAGGAATGGGGAGATTGTGGGAGGAGGGGGGAGGGAGGGAAGAGGGAAAGGGGAGGGGAAGGGGAGGGGAAGGAAGAAAAAGGAATGAAGGAAGGAAGGAAGGAAGGAAGGGGGGAGGGAGGGAGGGAGGGGAAGAGAGGAAGGGAGGGAGGAAGGGGGAGATGGTGGGAGGGAAGGAAGGAGGAGGAGAAAGAAGGAGGAAAGGGAGGGAGTAGGAGGAGGAAGA